AAACTATGGGCTCATGGCTAAACATTTCCCACTCAGTTTTGGTAATTATGTGACCATTCTTCCATGTTGCAATACTAATGGTTCTTAATTTACAAAAGGTCGATTAAGTAATTAAACCAGTTACAAACTATAGCCGGTGTTTTAGCAACAACCCATTAAGTTCTTGAACCCAATCAATTCCTATTTGGTCTTAAAAATGTGGAGAGATTTGCTTTAAATTTTAAAACATGTGGCTAAACCTCCCTTTCATAAAAGGAACTAAATGATAAAGTGGGTCCCTCATAAAAGGAGCAAGGGTCCCATATATTCCTAATTTAAATTAGAATAGTGGTTCAGACCTACCATGTGGATACTGGATAGATGTCCCCTAGTTTATTTTCCGAATTAGATAAATGGAACTCTATCAAAGACTTGAGCTATTTAGCTATTTAGTTTTCATCTTAAAAAAGAAAAAACATTTAATTTCCTAAATCAATTAAGAAATCTATCCCTAAACTTTCAATCTCAAAGTTGCAACCATTCTAGGAGAAAAAAAAAATTTAGGGTCCGTTTCATTTCTTGGAATAGGTGCCTAGAATTGGAATTGGAATGATTCATTCAGATTCTAACTATTTGTTTAGTAGGAACAGGATTCTTTGGGGAATGAAATTCCCTTATAAGAGGGAATGGTCACTCCATGCCCCCCCCCCCTTCCCCCGTGGCAATGGGATTCCCACTCAGAGTCAATCAAGAAGTAAAGAACTCATAACACCCCCGTAAAGCTAATGTTAATAAATAATAAAATATCAGTAAATTAATAATAAGGTGATAATAAATAATAATATATTAATAAAATATTAGTAAAGTATTAACAAAAATATTGAAAAATAGTAATAAAATAATAGTGCTATAATAAAATATTAATAAATTTAACAATAAAAAACAAATATAGTATTTATTAAATAATAATCATAATAATAATTAAATATAAACAAAATATTGATATAATATAATTAAAGTAATAGTAAAATATTAACATATTAATAATTAAGTAATAATAAATTAATCTTAAAATAGTAAACAAAAACAGTAGAATTTTAGTAAACTAATTAAAAGTAATAATATATTAGTAAAATATTCATAAATTAATGATATATAGTAAGATATTAATTATTAAATACTAATAAAGTAGTAATAGAATAATAATAATTATATATTCATAAAATATTAATAAAATAATAAATAGACTAATACAAAATTGAATTTTTTTCAGTAGATTCTGATTCAAACTCCAAATGAACCAAACAACAATTGGAATCTGATTCTAATTCTTGACTATAGCAAATAGGCATCAGGTATAAGTGATTCTGATTTTAATTCCTAGGGATTCCAATTCTGATCTTGTTTGTAAACCAAATGGACCCTTATTGTTATCTATAAGGCTCTGTTTAGGAAGAGTGCAAATACAAATGAAAATGATAACGTTTGTATTTATTTAACTTTTGATTATGGTTAGGGTCTATTTGGTTTATATTTGGAATCAGAATCAAAATCCTTTAGACTTGGAATCAAAATTAACGATGGAAATCTCTACCCTACTCGCCTTGACAGGGATGGTTTTGTTGTTTGAAAGATGGGTTTTGAGATTCTACAACCCATACAAGTAGGGGTAGTGTACAATGTTAAGCTAAACCTGATCCTCCCTAACCCACATATTATTAGAAAGCATATAAATTTTATATATTAATTGTTGAACGTAATATAATTTGAATTTTATGTGAAGGATAATTGATAGTTTATGTGTTTTTTACATGTCTTAATCAAATAATTGGAAAATTTGTTCTTTGTTTGTGTTATCTTATTTATTGCTTATAAAATAATAGGAAATTAGATGCAGATCCTAAACCTAACCTGTCCTACCCTTGAATGTGAGGAGGGTTTTGCGTTTCTATGCACGTGGGAGGGTTTTTATTCTCAAAATCCAACATGCTATGGGTTTTGGGGCAGGTAGGGTCTAGAATTTGCAAAACCCTCATCGAACCTGCCTTGTTGCCATCCCTAATTGGAATCTATTTCCATAGCCTGTTCGGTTTAGACAAGAATTAGAATGAGAATTAGAATTAGCTGGGATGAGATTTCATTCCCAAGGAAGAGGGAGAGAATGGCCATTCTCTCAAATGGGGGAATGTCATCCCACAAAGAAGTTTAAGAATCGGGATGGGATTCCCATTCCACCCAATCAAATAGTTAGATTCTAGACCCCTTTTCCCGCATACTAAACAGACCTTTGAACCATATTGGAATAGGGGCTTGGAATTGGATCCAACTATTTGGTTGGGAGGAATTTGAATCCCATTCTCATTCCTGGTGGAATGGCATCATCCCATTTAAGAGAATGGCCATTCCCTCCCCCTCCCTTAGAAATTCCATTCCAGCTGATTCTAATTATTATTCTGATTCCTGTCTGAAATCAAAATTCCAAACTTCCAATTCTGATTCCTGAACAAATCAACCTTAAAATTTTTTCACTATATTATTATTATTATATTGAAAAACAAGTTTTTAAAGATTAAATTTTATTTTTTAAGGTAAAGAAAGAACAAATTCTTACAATTAACCTTATGCTTTTTTTTTATTTTGAAAACCGATATTAAAACTGATCTTAATAAATTATTGGTTCCAAATATCTGGAACCTAACCCGAATGGATAGGTTCCAATTTCTGGCTTGAACGGTTGAACCCCCTCCTCACAAGCGCACACTTATTTGACGGGACAAGACCGTTGAATTACTATAGTACCCTCCAACTTTCAAGAATTGGCCATTACGGTGCGGACTAGGATTTCCTGTTTTCCATGAGACGGGGTATCTGTGGACTGTGGTTTCAGGCTTTCAGCCTTTCAGGTAGCCTTCCATGATTTCCTGCTTTCTATGTTGAGAGGAAACCCACGTCACACCACACCAGCACTTTCCAAGTATCCAATCAAGTGCTGTTTCTCTACATTAAAATGGTGGGACCCAAAGAACACAATAGAAGAGAATAAAGGCACACAATACGCAGTTCGGATCTCTTGCCCACAAGATTAATCCTACTCCTACTACACCCATTCACATATCATTAAAATGCAACTTGATTTCCTTTGTTGCTGTGCTCATAAGTCATAAACATAAATCCAAGCCTAGGGCAATGATCTTATTTTCCATTCTTTAATCAAATGAACGTCTCAGTGATAAACGTTATTTAAGTGACTAATATTACTAAAAAGGGTTAATTGTATATTAATACTATGTCTTTGAGACTAGTCTTATTTGATACCCAAATTTTAAAATATGTCAATTCAGCATCTGAACTTTTAAAACGTCCTAGTTTAGTCTTCATCATTGGTAGTGTATCAGTTTCCTGTAAATGCGATCATGTGTGATTTAAAATTTTTGAAAATATCAAAATTATCTTTCAAAATAAGATATTGTTTATCATGTTCTTCTTTAAGAACCAAGATTGAGTCCAAACAACGATGAATAACTTAAAAGACATTTGAATTAGGACATTTAAATGATTAATAAAGAAAATTAAATAATACCTAAAAGGTTTTTGTATCTTTTCACATGTCATTTAGGCTCAGTTTGAAAAGAGTACAAATACAAATACATACAAAATAATATAAAAATTGAAGGTTTTGCACTCTATGTATTTATATTTGCACTCCTTCTGAATAAAGCCTTAGACTCAATTTCGAAGAAGTACAAATACAAATATATACAAAATAATATAAAATTTAAGATTTTATACTCTACAAATTTATATTTATACTCCTTCTAAACTGAGCTTTAATGGTAATTAACAATTTTAGACAAAATTAAACGTTTTGAGAACTCAAATACTAAATTTACAGGTTTTAAAATTCGAGTACTAATTTGCAATTTACCCTACTAAAAACTCACCAAACCACGTGCATGGAAAAGGGGCCTTAGAAGGAAGTCCTCATTTATCGAGTCATCAATAAAACTTTTCCGCGCTTTCTCGTGCCTTCGATTATGTCTATGAACTTTCCGCAATATTTCTGAGCCAGCGATTTGGGCGTCCTTTCTTTCTTTTAAGCGGAGTACATATAAAAAGACAAAAATACCCCCGTTTTTATCGAAAAAGCAAGTCCACAACAAGGTTAACCTGGTCAATACGCCAGACTTTTCGTTTGAAAGAGCAACATGTAGCAAACTTAGGACCAGGAGATCCAATCATTCACTTGCTGCTTTCGCAAACATGAATGATGGGCCCCATCAACCATCTCACCCTTTAATTCTGTACTTTTCTACCCACATGGCCCACAACTAATTAAAATCATTGGATTTCGTAACCATCCAAATAACTCTTGATGATTATTTAATCGGTTAATCAGTAATCACCAATCAATTACTTGCACGCTAGTGGGCCCAACAAGCCATCTGGAGCCGTTAGATTTATTTCAAATCAAACATGATGAGATCTAAGCCTCGAAAACATAAATGCCTCAACGAATCAATGTGCATCAACATTTTTTTGGTTGGTTTCTCACTTCTCTATTTAAAAGCTGGCCCACTTGGGATTGTGGGTCCAGTAATGATGTTGTTGTTAATAGGAGGCATTATGGGCCTTTCTTGGTAATTGGACCTTAAGGGAATTGTAGGAAACAGGCTAACAGCAGTTTGCCTTTGCCATGCCGAAGGCTTCCGTAGCTTGTTGGTGTTGGGCATATAAATAAATAATAAAAGACGACAATGATGTAGTACATCAAACTCATCGTCAAAGTATCTATTTCGCTCTATCTTGATTCTGGAAGATGATCCTGTCCGTTTATCTTCTTGTGGACTATGACCCACACCAGGTTGGTCACCATTTGGACGGTTAGCAATGGACATCACGAAATCTTCCAGAAGTTGAGAAACTGAGAAGAGCAGTACGGACCTAGGATGGGGCGCATATGTGAATTCGGCGCCAGGTCTCTGATAGAAAGCAACCGGGAATGAATTCACATCTGCGCCCCACAGAAAGCAACCGTTTTTCCGGAACATCTCCCGAATTTGTTCTTAATGCACGCTGTGATGTGGATGTGGGGCGCCAATGTGAACTCACCGGGAATTTCCCGTCAGTTTCAGCCACCGACAGCCTTCTCCGGTAACCTGATACTGACCGTACGAACAGCTGGGCATTTTAAAAGAGACTCCCTCGATCGATCTGGCGATCTGGCCAATCGTCCTTCTCTCGGACACTTACTCATTCATTGCAGACACAATTTACGGAGAGAGAGAGAGAGAGCAAGTAAGCGAGCTTTAAAGGCGGCCATTAAATCTCGTTAATGGAGCTCTGAAAACCTGTAAATAAAAAATGGCGGAGAATGAGACTCGCGTTTGAATTTTGAAAGCCTGATAAAAAAAAGAGTTCAAAAGGTTTTACTGAGTTTTATTCTATAATTTTTATTGTTTGTTATATCAAAGATTGCTGCTTGCATGCTTTTTACTTGTCCATAACTTCTTGTCGTTGCTTGTCGCCTTATCTTCTCGATTCTACTTCCAAGAAAAATGCAGACGAAATGTGTTCATTGTGCTCTGAATCATCTGATCCGATGCTCTGCAAAGCAGGAACTTGGCGCTTCTATAGGATTTCGCGGTTTCTATGCTTTTCTAGTTGATTTAGCAGTATATAAGCTGTTTTATGTTATATTTTGTGTAAGTCTATGTTCTTTCCTTCTGTTCTATAGCTCTGCTTGTTCGATTAGTGGAGGAAGTTGGAATTTGCTGCGTTTCCTTCGAGTGGTGCTCGATCGGTATGTTTCCAATGATTTCAAGTTTTCTCGATGTCGGTTTTCTTATGTAGGCTGGTCATCCAAACCATACATTGATTGTTATCTGGTTTGTACTTAGAATTGAAGTTCATTAATTCACACTAATTGAAGCTAGATTATAGTTGCTTTGCTTTATGTGGAAGAATTTTATAGGTTCCTTACCATTGGAAATTTAATTTCTCTTACTAGTTGTTTTGAACTTGCTTCTTGATATTAGTGAATTCCAAATAGATCCAGTTTATGCTGCCATACACTGATCTCGGATGGGATAAAAGCTTATTTCATGCTTTGGTTGAATTGGCTCTTTCAGTCGGGATTCCACTTTCTGTTTCTTTAAATTTCTGGACTTTAAAGAATACAAACCAGATTCTCTCATTCTATTAAGCTTTGTCCAGAATCTGGTTTCATAAATCATGTTCCCTTGTTTTGAGAACCCCTCCCCCGCCCCGGTTTTTTACTCAAATACTTCTGATCTTTTCCCAGTAGTAGCAAAAATTTCCGTCCCTTAGTGGTCGTCTGATGACCGTTGTTGAAGTTTAAACTTGTGCATGTATCTAAATCTGGACCGGGAGATAGTCAATTGATTATTGCCTTGGCGTAAATTTTTGTTGGATTTTTGAATTAGAAGTATATCATATTTTGTTCTCTGTTATGTGCCAAAGCAGGTCTATACATGGTTATAGTTGCGCACACATGTTTGATATGATGTTCTTTAGTTTAGTTCATCATGGTTGGGATGATCATTACTCATGTTGATTCATGAAAATGTCACGAAGGTTCAATTGATACATCTTTTAATCCTTGATTTTCACAAGCTTCCTTGTTTGTTGAATTTATCTTCTATTCTAGTTGAAATTGATCCTCAAGTTTATATTAGGGTGGGTCATGGGGTGATGTTCTCAAGTAGGCATTTCGCATTAAACAAGTCCTGGAAATTGAGCTTTGTGAGTGCAACTATTTGTTATTTTTATCCTTCATCAATAGCTTTTTATTTTCATTCCACAGTTAGCAAGAAGTAGAAAAAGCATGAGAGATACGGTGAGGAAGAAAGACATACCAAATAATAGCCACAGTAAAAGATCCATCCAAAGCTACAGGAGAGAACACAAAGTGCATGAGAATGGCTCCAAGAAGTTGAATGCAAAAGAGGTTGAATCTAGAAAACCGGATACTAAGCTTGACTCCAATATCTCAGTAAGTTATTCAAATGCAGCAGGCACAGAGACTAGTGAAGTTTATGACAACATGGTTATACATTATGTGGATGATGTGGACAGGTCTGAAGAGACAGTTGCAGATTTAAAAGCTGATCAAATGGTTGCAAAAGGGAACAAATATGAAATGGAAGATCATTCTAGTGATTTGGAAAAGGATCCTAAGCATGGAAAGGAGGATGAATCTGATTCTGAGATGGCAAAAGATTCTGTATCATCTCAAGGGGATATACAGACAACAGAGGATGACAAGGTAGAAAGAGTTTCAAGAGTTCCCAAGAAGCTTGCAAAAAAGGAATCTTCTGAAAGCCGTCCTCATTCATCAACAATTAGAAAAAATCACCAGGAAACAAGTAAATCACAAAATGTTTCAAACAATACTTCAAAGAGATCTACAAAATCCAGCCAAGGGTCTCCTAAGGTGAACTCTAAGGGCCTCTCAGATAATAAAAGTAATAATATGAAAGTTCCTCCAAAACCTTCATCGGAATCATCTGAAGGAGTTGATGATAAGGCTATTGATGAGGTAAAGGACATAAACACCTTGGATGAGGCACCCAGTGGTGCTCATAGTATTGGAAGTGATGATGAAACAGCTGGCACAGAAAAGAATGGTTTGGAAGAACAGAGAGAAATTGTGAATCATAAGATTGAAGAGATGGAGCAAAGAATTGAGAAACTTGAAGAAGAACTGAGAGAAATTGCTGCTCTTGAGATTTCACTCTATTCTGTTGTACCAGAGCATGGGAGCTCCGCACATAAGGTGCACACACCTGCTCGACGCCTTTCTAGGCTATACATTCATGCTTGCAAGCATTGGACTCAAGACAAGAGAGCCACTATTGCAAGGAACACTGCCTCAGGGCTTGTACTGATAGCCAAGTCCTGTGGTAATGATGTCTCAAGGTGACATAAATGTTGCATACATGATTTGAATAATTCAGAATGTTTTCTTGTTATTCCTTTTCTTGTGGACTAACATTCCTTCTCTTCAGGTTAACCTTCTGGTTATCAAATACCATTGTCCTAAGAGAGATTATATCTCAAGCTTTTGGCAATTCACACCACTCAAATCCAATTACAAGGTTTGTTGAAGCAAATGGAGCAAAGATAAGTGAAGGGAAGCCTTCATCACTGAAGTGGAAGGCCAGTCCTGGTCCCAAGCAAGTGAAGAAACCTGGTTTCATGCAAATTGTTGATGACTGGCAGGAGACAAGTACGTTCATAATGGCACTAGAGAAAGTTGAATCCTGGATTTTCTCTCGGATTGTCGAGTCTGTGTGGTGGCAGGTATGAGAGAGATGCACTTTATGAATCTTTTTAGAAGAGTATGGATGCATAATATATCAGAGTCCCTTGCATAACTGAAGCTACTAATCTTATTTCAAAATGAACTCTCATTACATTTTTATATAATTCATATTCTGCCATATGTAGTAATCGCTATCATGTTTAATACATATTTCTGTATATAGGATCTGATGTATTTCTCTTTGAGCTGATTGAAGTGATCTTGTTTCAGACCTTAACTCCACACATGCAGCCTCCAGTTGAAGAGATGCACACCAACAAAAGCTTTGGAAAGCTGTTGGGGCCAGCCTTGGGTGATCAGCAGCAGGGAAGTTTTTCAATTAACCTTTGGAAAAGTGCTTTCCAGGACGCCTTCCAAAGAGTTTGTCCTGTTCGAGCAGAGGGGCATGAATGTGGTTGCTTGCCAGTACTAGCAAGAATGGTATGTACTGATAATACCCATTGATTTTCGTTTTTAATTTTTCCTGCCTTTAGAGGGTGGGCCTTGGCACAATGGTTGGGTTGCTCCATTGTGACCTGGGTGACTGGGGTTCAAATCTTGGAAGCAGCTTCTATGTGTATCTTCAGGGGTAAGGCTGTGTACATCTGTTCCTCCCCAGACCCTGCATTGGCAGGAGCCTCGTGCACTGGGCTGCCTTTTTCTGGCATTTATCTTCTTTTCAACTTCATAGGTAGCAGAGATCCTTGTGAGGTCTTGATTTGTGGTTGTATAATTAAATGGCATTCTCTTCATTTAGTTCTCTTTCCTGTAGCTTAAATGTGTGGATTGAAGGAAAATACTTAATTGTGCTTTGTTCACTTTAGAAATAAAGCAATTCTGTATCTTTCTTCTTGTCAGGTAATGGAACAGTGTGTGGCAAGACTTGATGTTGCAATGTTCAATGCTATTTTACGTGAGTCGGCCCATGAGATCCCGACCGATCCTGTATCTGACCCAATTGTTGATTCAAAGGTTCTGCCCATTCCAGCTGGTGACTTGAGCTTTGGATCTGGTGCACAACTGAAAAACTCTGTATGTTTTGTATCTATCTGCATGTTCTTTTTCTAATTATTATCCATTTGTTTTATTAAGCACATTAGCCTGATTGTTGTACTCATGAGTGGAGATTGCATGCACTTCTTGCATTATTAGTATTTTATTCATACTTTTCTCTCTTAAGAACCATATATGCTTCTTGTAGGCCAGCTGAAACACTGCTGTTTTGTTAGGCATTCAGCACAGAATTTGTTTATCTGACCTCTTACACGTCAGTACAACTATGAGGCTGCTAGTTTGAAGATATGATGAATACTAATTAGGAAAGTCTTTGCTCTAAATGCAGGTAGGTAATTGGTCTAGATGGCTTTCTGATCTGTTTGGCATGGATGCTGATGATTCCGTAAAAGATCAGGCCAGTGATGAGGATGATTTCAGACGAGTTGGGGATGCCGAACCCAAGTCCTTCTATCTACTTAATGCCTTGAGCGATCTTTTAATGCTCCCAAAGGACATGCTTATGGACAGATCCATCAGAAAAGAGGTCAAGCTTGCAATTCCATTATATTATTAACCCAGACATATTTTCTTGCGTCATCTAACCACACAATAAGATTGCTAAAATTTCTAATTTCATGTTCTATAGGTATGCCCTTCCATTGGTCTTCCCTTGGTCAAGCGCATACTCTGCAATTTTACTCCCGATGAGTTCTGCCCTGATCCTGTCCCAGGGGCTGTCCTAGAGGCCTTGAATGCTGAGGTATTGTTTTGACTGCATTTAAATTTCTGAATCTAATATGTTTCTATGCTGTGCATTGAAGCACCAAGTAAACCACAGATTCTGCTGCCAGCTTATTTTGTCCCTTCAATTGGGTGGTATTGCTCGCAGCAAAAAAAAAAAAAAAAAGTAGTCTTATCACCATTTGATGAACCTCATCCAAATTTACCTGGGTTCCAAATGTTAATATTAGAACCCCTGATGGTGCTTTTTTTTGGTCATTGCCACAATCATCTCATAGATTGATTTTCAGCATAGCAAGGTCCCACCTCACAATATTTACTGTATTTGTCTGGTAGGACATTTTACTGTGGTACTTTTAGGTTTCCTCTCTTAGAAAACTAGGCCAGTGTTTTAATCAGTCACCGGTTTTGACATGATATTTTGCCTTTTTCACCATACAGCGGCGTGTTCTAAATTCACTGGGGTATAGTTGAGTAATTCTGCGACACTAGTCGCATGTAATGTGTTCTCTTTTTTTTGGTTAAATAAATATTATTAAAATATCTGAAATTTGTACAGCACAGGAACGGAATCATCTTTTGTCCATTTCTGATGGTAATTTATCCGATGTTTGTGTTCAATTCAGAGTATTGTGGAATGGAGGTTATCAAACGGAGACTCCAATAGCAGCTTCCCATATATTGCTTCTCCAGTGGTTTACACCCCTCCTACCCAGGCTGATGTGGCTGAAAAAGTTGCCGATGCCGGAGGAAAACCTCAACTAGGGAGAAATGTATCAGTCGTTCAGAGGAAAGGGTATACGAGCGATGAGGAATTGGATGAACTGGATTCTCCACTGACATGCATCATCGACAAAATGCCACCATCTCCCACCTTAGCAAATGGTAAGATGGGGAATGGAAATGGAAAACACAAGGAAACCACAGGTTATGGTGGAGGTAATGTGAGGTATGAACTCCTCCGCGAAGTTTGGTCTACATAAATGTATGTCCCATTACTTCTTTACAAACAAAAGAAAACAAAAAAGAAAGAAAAAGAAAGTTAAAGGCAAAAATAGAAGGCACATATTTGCAAATAACTTAAGAGAAAGGGACAGGGATTGATTTTACAGTTGAATTCAATCGCATTAAACTTGTCTTTCTCAATTATTGGATCTCGGGAATAAAAATAAAAAGGATAAATTGCATACAGATATCTTGTACTTTGGGGGTACCCTTATTTTCGTGCCTGAATTTTCAAATGTATGAGTGTACGACTGCTTACTAAACTTTCAGAAATATACATTTAAGTCTAACTCTGTAAACTATCCTCACTGTGAAGATAATAAAATTATGAAAATTTCCATGTTTTGATTCTTTTTTGTACTAGTCATCTTCTTCTAACTTCAGACTTAGGAAACGGTTCAGTGACAGCATTTTCATGATTTACGGTCAAACGGCATTTGAATTGAGCCTTTATCAATTGTAGTTTGCATCCAAAATCCAGAGGTAGAAGATGAACAATAAATTTCAATCAAGGGATAATCTCATTTGAAAATTAAGGTCCTGAAATGAGACTATCCCATACTTATTTGCCAAATAAAAAATATAAAGTCCCATCAATCCTATTTGTCGAAAAAAAGTCTTTTTTAGACTTTCAGCTAGACTTGGCAATTGGGTTGGGTGGGTCGACTTCGGGTTGGGTCAAGGCACTTAGGGTTGATTTTGGGTTGGGTTATCAAATGTTAGACCTTAACCCTAAATGTTCGGGTTAGGGTTGACCCATGGGTCAATTCGGGTCATCCTAATAAATAATTGAAATTTAAAAAATAAATAAAAATCACATGAAAAATGTCAAAATTAAAGGAATTAACCTTAAATTTCCAAATATAAAATAAAAAAATTTGAACATTTAACAATTTAAAGACTAAACGATAAAGAGTAAAGACAAAATAGAAAAAATTAAAGAGTGGAAACTTCTAACAATGCATAATAGTCCCAATTAGACTTGACAATCAAGTCAACGGGTTGACCCATGACCCAACCCAACCTAACCCATTTTTTTCAGGTTGGGTCGGGTCATTTTCACATTTAGGTAGATAAATATGAGACCCTAACACTATTTTTTTGGGTTGGGCTGCATCAGGTTCGCGGGTTGCATCAATTTTTTGGCAGGTCTAGTCGTAAAATACCCAATAAAATCATAAAGTAAATACTACAACAAAATTGGTTTTCTTTGTTCGGTGTACTCGAAAATCCTCTACTATGTTTTAAAATTCTTTAAACCCATGGGTGAAATCAGCGTTCGAAAAATTTTAAAATGAACTATTAATGATATAATTTTTCCACTTGGACCATGATAGTCATTGTTGATATTCTAGACAAAATCCTGCTCAATAGAATTTATATATACACATTCCACCATTGCCAATCCAAACTCGATTAAGTGGGCCAGGGCTTGGACTCGGGCTAGGCATTTACAAAAAAAGCTTGAGCCTAACCAAAAAAAAAAATTGTTCGGGCCCGGTATATTGGAGCCATGGACGAACTTGCAGATCTAAACTCATGAATAATCCTAACTTGGAACAGGTCGGGCCAACTCAATTCGTCGACCTACCTGACCCAAAAATTGATTTAATTCCATTGAAACAAATTCGGGTAAACAATGACCAATGAAATTTAACCACCACCAACAGTAGCATCTCTAGAAGTCGCAACATACCCAATAAAATCGTTAAGTAATTGCTTGGACAAAATTGTTTTTCTATGCTAATTATACTCAGAAATTCTCCAATATGTTTTAAAATCTTTTCCACCCTATAATGAAACTCAGCATCCGAAATATTACATATTAATCTATAGATACTTCGGTTTTTACCGAAGGACCATGATAGCCATTGTTGATATTCTTGACAAAATCCTACTAAACAGAATTTATATCTACAAAGATGTTATATTGTCACCAACCTAAGCTCGAATAAGTGGGTTCGGGATTGGGCTGGGCATCTATGAAAAAGCCCAAGACCGAGCCGACAAATATAATAAGTTTCAGTACATTGGGTCCTCGTACGAGCTAATGGGGTTAAATGCAATTCCAATCTTGACTTAGAATGGGCCAGGCCAAGATATCTGTTTCGGGTTATCCAACCCATTAACAGGTATAATCCCGGGTAATCGAAACGGGGTAACTCACAACCACCGCAATTTAACCTCGACTAGCATAAGCATCTCTAAAGTCGCAACATACCCAATAAAATCCTAAAGTAAATGCTGGTACAAAATTCGTTTTCTCTATTTGTTGCACTTGAAAATCCTCTATAATGTTTTAAATTTCTTTCTACCCATGGATCAAACTCGGCATTCGAAAAAATTTAGAATGAACTATTAATGATATAGTTCTTCAACTTGGACCCTTATAGCCATTGTTGATACTCTTGACAAAATCCTGAACATAATCTATATATATATGCAGTTGTTCCACTATCACCAACGCAAGCTCGATTAAGTGGGCTCGTGCTTGGTCTTGGGCTGGGCATTTACAAAAAAAGCCCAAGTGCAACCCGAAAAAAATTGTTCGGGCCCGGTATATTGGAGCCGTGGCGAACTTGCGGATCTAAACTCATTAACAATCTCAACTTGGAATAGGCCTAGCATCTCAGTTCATCTACCTACCTGACCCAAAAACAGTGTTAATTCCCGGGAAACGGAACTAGGTAAGCCACGACCAATGAAATTTAGCCCCCACCAACAATAGCATCTCCAGAAGAAGTTGCAACATACACAATAAAACTTTTAAGTAAATGCTAAGACAAAATTGGTTTTCTATGTTTATTGTACTTAGAAATTCTCCAATATGTTTTAAAATCACTTCCCCCTAGAATGAAACTCAGCATCCGAAATATTATAGATTAAACAATAGATACTTCAGTTCTCTCCCAAGGACTCTGATATCCATTGTTGATATTTTTAACAAAATCCTAATCAACAGAATTTATATCTATAAAAATGTTATACTGTTACCAACATAAGTTAAATTAAGTGGGATTGGGATCGGGCTGGGCAATTATAAAAAAGCCCAAGCCAGAGCTGACAAATATAGTTGGCTCTGATACATTGGGTCCTCGTACAATCTAATGGGGTTAAATTCAACTCCAATCTCGACTTAGAATGGGCAGGGCCAAGACGTCCTATCGGGTTACCCAACCCATTAATAGGTATAATCCCAAGTAATTGGAATGGGGTAACTTACGACCAACGCAATTTAACCTCGACCAACACAAGCATCTCTAAAGTCGTAAGATACCCAATAAAATCATAAAGTAAATGCTGGTACAAAATTCGTTTTCTCTATTTGTTGCACTTGGAAATCCTCTACAATGTTTTAAAATTCTTTCTACCCATGGATCAAACTCAACATTCAAAAAAATTTAGAATGAACTATCAATGATATAGTTCTTCAACTTGGACCCTTATAGCCATTGTTGATATTCTTGACAAAATCCTGCTCAACAGAATCTATATATGTGCAGTTATTCCACCGTCACAAACACAATCTTGATTAAGTGGGCTCGGGCTTGATCTCAGGCTAGGCATTTACAAAAAAAGCCCGAGCACAACCCAAAAAAAATTGCTTGGGCCCGATATATTGGAGCCATGGTTAACTTGCAAATCTAAACTCATGAACAATCCCAACTTGAAACAGGCCTAGCCATCTCAGTTTATTGACCTACCTGACCTAAAAACTGCATTAATTCCCAGGAAACGGAATTGGGCAGCACAAGCATCTCTAAAGTCTTAACATCACAATAAAATCCTAAAGTAAATGCTGGTACAAAATTCGTTTCCTCAGTTTATTGTACTCGAAAATCTTCTACTATGTTTTAAAATTCTTTCTACCCATGGATGAAACTTAGCATTCAAAATATTTTAAAATGAACTATTAATAATATAGTTCTTCCGCTTGGACCATGATATCCATCGTTGATATTCTTGATAAAATCCTACTCAACATATTCTTTATATACGAAATTGTTCCACCGTCACCTACCCAAGCTTGATTAAGTGGGCTAGGGTCGGACTCAGGATGGGAAGTTACAAAAAAAGCCAGAGTGGAACCCGAAAAAAATTGTTCAGGCCTGGTACATTGGAGTTGTGGGCGAACTTGCGGATCTAAACTCATGGACAATCTCAACTTGGAATAGGCTTGGCTAACTCAGTTCATTGACCTACTTGACCCAAAAACTGGTTTAATTCTAGGGTAATCGCAAGTAATTGGAACGGGGTAACTCACGACCACTGCAATTTAACCTCGGCCTGCACAAGCATCTTTAATGTTGCAACATACCAAAGAAAATCCTGAATGAAATTCTGGAATAAAATTGATCTATCTTTGTTTGTTGTACTAGGAAATCCCCTACAATGTTTTAAAATTCTTTCTAACCATGAATAAAACTCAGTGTTCAAAAAATTTTTAAATGAACTATTAATGATATAGTTCTTCTACTTAGACCATGATATCCATTGTTAATATTCTTGACAAAATCCTGCTCAACAGAATCTATATATATGCAATTGTTCCTCCGTCACCAAACCAAGTTCAATAATGTGGGCTCGAGCTTGGGTTCGGGCTAGGTATTTACAAAAATAGCCCATGCTTAACCCGAAAATTTTGTTCGGGCCCGGTATATTAGAGCCGTGGACAAACTTGCGGATCTAAACTAAAGAACAATCCTAAATTGGAATAGGCCGGGACAACTCAGTTCATCGACCTACCTGACCCCAAAACTGGTTTAATTCCATGGAAACGGATCTAGATAATCCACGACCAACGAAATTTAACCCCCACCAATAGTAGCATCTCTAGATGTCGTAACATACTCCATAAAATCCTTAAGTAATTGCTAGGACAAAATTGGATTTCTATGTTCATTGTACTCAGAAATTTTGCAGTACGTTATAAAATCATTTCCAAACCAGAATGAAACTCGACATCCAAAATATTATAGATTAAACTATAGATACTTCAATTCTTTCCCTAGGACCATTATAGTCATTGTTGATATTCTTGACAAAATCCTACTCAACAAAATTTATATTTACAAATATGTTATATTGTTACCAACCTAAGCTCGGAATTGGGTTGGGCATTTATGAAAAAGTCAAAGCCCGAGCCGACAAATATAATTGGTTCTGATACTTTTGGTCCTCATACAATCTAATGGGGCTAAATGCAAGTCTAATCCAGACAAAGAACAGGGTGGGCCAAGACATACGCATTGGGTTACCAAACCCATTAATAGGTATAATCCCAGAAAATCAGAAACTCATGACCAACGCAATTAACCTCGACCAGCACAAGCATCTCTA